TCTTAAAAAAGTTGGGACACAGGTAAAAAAAGGGCTGAAAAAGCAATTAATATATAAGAGAATCAGTTGAAAGAATATTTAGCAAGTAATTGCATTAACTGGCATCAGGTGTGTAACATGTTTGGCTATAAAATGGATGTCTTAGAGAGGCTGAGTCTCTCAGAAGTAAAGATGGCCAGAGGCTCTCTAACCCGTGAGGCTCTCCAACCCAAAAAAATTGTGGAATACTTTAAAAATAATGTTCCTCAACGTCAAATTGCAAAGGCTCTGAAGGTCTCATCATCGACAGAGCATAACATCATCAAAAGATTCAGAGAAACTGGAAAAATCTCTGTGCGTAAGGGACAGACCTTTACAGGATGCCCGTGATCTTCGGGCCCTCAGACACCACTGCATCACTCACCGGCATGATTCTGTCATTGACATTACTAAATGGGCCCAGGAATACTTCAAGAAACCACTATCTGTGAACACAGTCCGCCGTGCCATCCACAGATGCCACCTAAAACTCTATCATACAAAAAAGAAGCCATTGTTGAGCATGATCCAGAAGCGCCGCCATGTTCTGTGGGTCAAGGCTCATTTAAAATGGACTGTAGCAAAGTGGCAAAGTGTCCTGTGGTCAGATCAGTCCAAATTTGACATTCTTGTTGGAAATCATGGGCGTCGTGTCCTGCCCAGCCTGGCCAAGAAAGACCACCCCTCCTGTTATCAGCAGTCAGTTCAAAAGCCAGCATCTCTGATGGTATGGGGATGCATTAGTGCATATGGTGTGGGACACTTGCATGTTTTAAAAAGCACCATGAATGATGAAAGGTATATAAAGGTTTTTGAGCAACATATGCTCCCCTCCAGACTACATCTATTCCAAGGAAGGCCTTGTGTATTTCAGCAGGACAATGCAAAACCACATACTGCAGCTATTACAACAGCATGGCTTCGTAGTAGAAGAGTCCGTGTGCTAAACTGGCCTGCCTGCAGTCCTAATCTTTAACCGATTGAGAACATTTGGCGCATAATTAAACGAAAAGTCCGTCAAAGGAGACCCAAAACTTTCCAGCAGCTGGAAGCCTGTATTAAACAAGAGTGGGATCAAATTCCAATGGCTAAACTCAAGAAACTTGTCTCCTCAATGTCCAGACGCCTCCACTCTGTGTTATAAAGAAGAGGGGATGCTACACCATGGTAAACAGGCCCCTGTCCCAACTTTTTTGAGACCTGTAACAGCCATCAAATTTGAAACGAGCTCATTTTGTGGATAAAATTGTAAAATTTCTCAGTTTCAACATTTGCTATGTTATCTCTGTTCTGTTGTGAATAAAATACTGGCTGGTGTGATCTGAAAGTCATTGCATTTTGATTTTATTCACAGTTTTCACGTCGTCCCAACTATTTCGGAATTGGGGTTGTATAAGCTTATAGTTGTTTATAGTTTTTTTTTTCAGTGCGCTTTTCAACTTATTGGCAAATAATTGCATGTACACACTGGCTTTTCCTGAAAATGCCGAAATTAGACGATAGTGGTGTGTGTCATGTCTATAAATCAAACTTATCCAACTCATTATAACATCTGCTTATGTCATAAAAAGCTAACAAATAACAAAAGTTGCTACAGAATGCTGATTCAATATTAAATCGAAAACAAAGACTTTACGATCACCCTGCATGAAAGTAGCATTTTTACACAAGGCAGCACAAATCGTACGAGCACCAGCAACATTTTGCAAGCCACTGGCTTTGTCTTGACGCCTTCGATGGGATTTTGCGAAAATGATAATCCTTGGGGTTGTTCACATCTGAGACACGATAGTACTTTGCCACACAATAGGGCACTGCCCGCGGTAAATCGACTCATTAATAACAAGACAGTGTAATCCTCTCACCATTTGCACTGAAGCGCACAGATAATATCATATTAGTTAACTCTGATCATGTGACTAGTCAGAATGGCTATGCCCATGGAAACTTCTTTTTTCTCCTAAAAAACACTTCTCAACCCCATGTTGTTCCATTTGCTTGAAAACATGGGAAATAGTGGCGGCGTTTCAGTAGTTGTTCAACATACCCTCATTCACTCCCCCTCAGCCCTTGGTGTTACATAACATGTACGTCACACAGAGGCCACTTGGAGCATAGAGGGGAAAGTGGGCGGGGGATTGAAATGGAATACACCTACCCTTGCCCACGCTCAGCCCGTACTATCATGGATCGACTGCCAGTTGCAGATTTAGCGTGATACTTTGTTTTACAAATCATCATAACTACTTGCAGACTCATTTCAGTGGGGTGAAGCCACCTCCCGCGTATAAAGTTGGCACTTGGTGGCGTTATTTGCTCTATCAGGTTCTGATTTAGAAATTAGGCTGCTGTTTGAGATGTGTATCATGCTTGATATCTCCCGTTTTTATTGGCTTGATTAACAATCGCTAATTAATTTGCTTAGCAATCTAAACCCATACGAAGTATACAATGATTGAGAAATAATTACAAATGTATTGCCTATTGGCTACATTTATGTAATGGATGTGATATTGTAATAATGGAAATTATCTGACAAAATACAAAAAAACCTAAACTTTCCCTGACTTCAGTCTCTCATTTTAGCATTTTTCAGCTGCATAATTAATTGTTAAATGGCTCCTGATTTAATTGCAGTCTGTTGTTTTTAGCATTGAAATGAATACATCTGAAGAGGAAGAGATCTTGATTTATCGGACCATACTGACCGGTAAAATGCTTTAATTGCTATAAGCCGCGAAAAAACGCAAATCAATGCCGTTTTATGAGCTACATGCGTTCAGAATCTTCGAAAGACAAGCTGCCATTTCTGGGCATAGGAAAACACCCAAAAAATTTGTTATGCAATGTATAATACTCTCAAAAATGAACTACTGCGTCATTTGATCAATTGGTCTCAGCAACTTAGCAAATCAATGATTGGTAGGTCATTAAACAAAGTTAAACTGCGACAGGTGTAGTGTAATTAATTTATTGCTCAATTTAATCACCTTGCTCAATTTATTATCTGCTCCTTTAGTGAATAGTGGTTGAGTTTTACTGACTGTAGCACAGTTTTACTCACACCCACGGCTAGGTGGCAGTATTGTATCTTCTTGCACCAACTGCGCAAATACAATGCATTGTGGGTAGGCAATATACACCTCTGAAGTGACCGTCGCTGTTGACTTCCTCCCTCCGCCCTCTCGAGCCCACCAAGTTCACTTCTGTTTTTCACGCAACTGGAACGACCCCAAAGATGGCAACGGGGTTCACCCATAGGCAAGTGCTGAGGGGAAGTCAGCGAGGGCATGTAAAATGACTATTGAAAAGCAGCCAATACATGAAGTGTGTTGTGTCAGTGGCCTTGTTAACACAGCTACATGGAATTATTAAGATGCAGGAATGGAGATAACGTTCAAACGTCTTAATTGTGGCAAACTGATGGCACTTTTTCGTTACATACATATCAATGTGTGCTTACGTACACACACATACACACACACACACACACACACACACACACCACAGCCATGTATCAGCCCAACATAAAAGTTCCTGTACTTGGCAAGTACATTACAAAGTGGAGCATCACATTATTAAAAGTTGGTAAATCAGTGTGATGAAGTTTACTTTTAAAACCCTTGAAGTTCCAGCCTTTCATATATCCTTATGAAGATAATCTTTCGGAAAATGATGAAAAATAAAATTAGCATGCAATCTAGTATCCCCAGTACACTGTGGGATACTACAGTGAAACGCAGATCGGGACGCGACCGTTCATGGCCATCAAGCCTTGTTTTGGCATTGGAATGTGTGGTTTACGTAGAATTTAATAGTTGTCAATCGGGTTTTTTTGCTTTGCCCGCACCACCTGCATGCTGAAATATAGCTGTGACTTCTCGACAAGGCTAACTCTGATAAGCACTACTGAAATAAATTTGTACAGTATTCTCCACATAAGCTGCTGTCTGTGCATCCCTATTTCAAATGATGGGGAGGTAATATTGCAGTACATAGCTTCATTTTTTATTTGCACTGATGCTTATAGTGGGCAGTGATTTGGACTTGTTTTGGAAGAAAATGGTCGACTAAATCCTTCAGATAAAAACCTTGGGGAAAGATTTCCCAGTTCTATTAGTAATGATCCCCAGATCCATTCATTATCTGATCAACTTCTTTCTGGTTAAGGTTGCGTGGTAACTGGAGCCCATCCCAGCGTTCATGGCGAGAAGCAGGAACTTGCCCTGGACAGTCTGTCAATCCATTGGCGGGAACATGCACCATTCACTCAAACACTCATACCCATGGGTAATTTAGAGTCTCTGATCAGTCGACAATGAATCTGTAAGGACTGTGATACAAAATCCATTCACACAGGGGGAGAATATGCAAACTGCACACAAGGCCCCAGCATGGAATCAAACTCAAAGTCTTGATATCAGGCAATGGTGCTCACTGAACGACTTGATGTGCCTCCAGGGATCCAAGATTATTTATTATTATAAATATTAATATTAATATTTATAATAATAATAATAATAATAATAATAATTGATCTAACAACCCCAAATCAGTAAAAAGTTGTAACATATGTTAAATTGAATGAAAACTGTTAGTCTGTTCTGCTGCTGTCGCCTCTCCCTCTGCTTGTCCACACCCCTTGTACTGCTATTGTTCTCAGCTGAGTCTCATTACCCAGCCAGTATCTAAGCAGCTCTGTTTCACTCACTCATTGCCAGATTGTCATTGCAGCATGCACTACTCTCCAGCCTTTGTCTTTGGTCTGACTTCCTGGAATCGACTCTGCCTGCCTCTGACTATGTCGTCTCGTTCCTGCCCCGGTAAACCTGATAGCCTTCTGCCTCTCACTTTGAGTTCTGCCTTTGTGCTTCCTGGTTCCTGTCTGCCATCTTTCAAGCCCCTGTCCAAGCCACCTGTCTTGCCACTCCACTGCCTGCCTGTGTGGACACTATCCTGTCTGCCGAGCCTCAAGCTAGCCTGCCCCGATAGCCCGGTGGTAACTCTCCCGCCTGCCGTGTGGACAACCCGGGTTCGAATCCCGTCATCAGGGCCTGCTCCCTCGAGTCCCCGGCTGAGCTCCACCCACGATCCATGGTTCCTGATCCTGATCTGCACTAAGCTACCCTGCTCTACATTCTGTTTACCTCTGCTCAGAGATCATTAAAAACCAGTAAAACTTCACTCGTGTTGATTGTGTTGCATTTGGGTCCTGCCACTCCCCGTGACAGAAAACTAAAAGCAATGATTTGTAAATGATCTTTTAACTATATTACGTTGAAAACGATACAACAGCTCAATATTTAATGTTTCACCACATCAATGTTTTTTCCTTTTATTTTTCAAAATAAATACCCTTCAGTTTTGATTCTTACAACATACTTCAAAATAAGTTGGGACAATTAAGCATTTAGCTCTTTATACTGTTGAGATTCCTATTAAAAGCATTTAATAAATGGGGCTGAAGACACATAGGGGTCTATTCTCCCATGCGCCTAAGTCGAAAAAAGCGCGTAGCTACGCGCTTTTCAGCCTACGCGTATTCTCCCCTTGACTTAAGTCTGTGCATTACGCGCCCCGAAGGCAGTTACGCACTTCGGGCAGAGCAAGGCCAAAATCTGGGCATTTCTCCTGCAAATAACACTTACGCGTATTCTCCCCCTGGCTTTCGCGCTTTTTCTGTTAAGCACTTTTGAGGGCTGTATTAAGGTCAAGCGCCAATATAAGGCGAAATAGAATATTGCGTTTGATGTCGGTTATGGGCCAAATTTCAACATTTATTTTATTTAACATGGTAAAGGTTGAGACATTCAATATTTGATTGTTCATCCTTATTTCTAAACTACATTTCTCATAACCATAATAAATTATTGTAAATCCTGGAAAATAAGTTACTTTTCAGATACTGTTACTGTAATAAGGGTTACACGAAAATACATGTTCATTAGTAGTCTGTGCAATACTGTATGCATAGGATGATGTGCATGATGGGAGAGAGAGTTTTGAGTGGGGAGACTGGGAATGCTGGGGAGAAGACGGGGGGTCGAAAAAAGAGGGGGGAGAGGAAAAATGGCGGTGTAGTAGACTGGATTGTTCTGTATGCACAAGGCGAGTAAACTAATGAAAGAACCCTTGGTCTGCAGTTTTTCTTATTTGTGTGCAATTGTTCGAAGAGAAGACCCGCTACCAATATAAATATTACATTATTAAACGAAATCATCACAATATTACGCAACAGCCTGTTCTCCAATGAGTTCAATTACAAACACACAGCAATTAATTAATACGAGTATACATAAGACCATCATTCTACCATGCCCTCAAAATCTAAAACCAAAATGCCAGTCCCGCATTTGCTTGCACTCTTGCGTGAGTGGGAAAGAGTAAGAGGAGCGCGCCAAGCTTGAAGATGACCACGCATATATCGGCCTCGTTTGGACATCCTGGGACTAACAGACACCGAGTGCATCCAGTGCCTTCGTCTGGACTGTGAGGCAATCATCTATCTTTGCCGACTTTTGGATGAACAGCTATCCAGCCACAGCAATCATCCACAAAACATACGCGTGGTCATCAAGGTCACAGCTGTGCTGTCAGTCCTGGCATCTGGCATCTGGGTGATGTGATGCACATATCACAGGCGCCTGTGTCAAGGTGTCTGGCTGGTTCGATGATGATGCACCATATCAGCCATTTTTCATAAAGTGTCAAAACGACACAGTTCGTTGATGCTGAATGCTGCACCACGTCAGCCATTTCATAAAGTTCCTGAAACACCCGGAAAGGCGGAGAGTTAAGGGGGGGGTTCTACCGGGTCGCCGGGTTCCCCAGTGTTATGGGAGCCATTGATTGTACTCACGTCATCAGAACCCCTTCCACTAATGAGAATATGTACAGAGACCGTAGATGTCAGCACAGCATTAATGTTCAGGTTGTGTGCGATCATGATACGCGCATAATAAGCATCTGCGCCAAATTCCTGGCTCGGCCCATGACGCCTATGCAGTGGCGGTTCTAGAACCGAATTGGGGGGCACAGACAAGTCCTTTTTGACAATTAGGATAGTCCTGGCTAGTTCTCAATCATTTTCCTTTATTGACGCGTTTTCCAATTATCGTAATTGGCAACTGAAGACACGGTTTCTTCCATGTCTCCATGAAATCATGGATCTTCAAACTGAGAATTGGGGTGAAATCAGATGAATTCAGTGTCCTGACTGAGAATCATTTCAGGAAACAAAGGACAAAACATCCGTTTTAAACAATTATTAGTCGACTCACCTGTTCTCATCATTTTCAAATATGACTAAACAAAAGGTTCATTTCACTGCTGAGTGCCACTTTTTTCAAACAGATGTTTTGAATTGTTCTCTTAAATTATCAATGATTATCATTCATCTGACATGTATTTGCTGAATTAAATCAAGCATTATTCAAAATTGCCTACTTGCTCAAATAAACCGCATCGTTTTATAGTTGCCTATTTCACTGCTGATAACTTTTTCACTCAATACGAGAGTAATTTTGAATAATGTTGATTGAAGCAAATACTAGCCAGAAAAACGACTATCCTAATTGATTGAGAACTAAAGGGACGGTCATGTGCCCCCCCAATTCCCAGTTCTAGAACCGCCACTGCGCCTATGTACGCGCAACTGCTTGAAATGCCAAAATATACAACAAATATTTGAAACCATATTAAGCTTGTTTCCAGTATTTATCACAATGATACACTGAGTATAGGCAAATAAAAATGACCATTTTACATACCCCTCCTTCATCCGTATCCACTCCAAGTTCTTCTCCATGCACTTCCACTGCAGAAAGAGTGGATACCACCTTCCCTCCAGTGCAGTGAAATGCACAGGGGATGATGGTTCCCCACAACCTGTTGCGTGCACACTTCTCTGGTGTGCAGAGAGCCTGGCTTTTATAGCGCCCAGCAGATCTCTCCATTTATGCTTTAAATCAGGGATACTGCGCTTACATCTCTCCACCGAAGCCACATCCAGAACGATTTGCAGCTTTCTTCCTCGGATCAGCCTTCAGTGCCCCCTTGCCATACAACGCCTCGTGGTGCCTCTTCACTGATTTCACCAATACCTCTCACTCCTCATCTGTGAAATTTGGTTTTCGGCTTCGGCTCGATGTCGCCATCTTTGTCTTCATGTTCTATTAACAAATGTGACTGCCCTATATGTTTGTGATAATCTAAAAAGTTGTGATATTCTCACTAGGGAGGAGATTGATTTTCTAATTGAGGATATCTGTAGCCTATTAACTAACCCGTGTCTATGTAAATATGTATGCAGACATCTCTTTTTTATTTTTTATTCTAGCCACCATGGCATTAAAGCTATACAAACAAACAAATTGCCGCGATAATGAAATAACAAAGAATTTAGCGCTTCTCAACCAGCACAATCAGAGCATTGAAAATGTGCCCCTCCTGCACCAGCCTGTTTGTTCCATGGAAGACAGGGAATAAGACAAATAAAGAGAACATTCTAGTCACACAAAAATAACAAAGACAGTTTATGCGATCTCATTTAGAAATTACGCACTTGAAATCTCAAACTACTCCGATGTCAGGTTTGCAACTAAAGGACATGGCAACGCTTTAACAAACAAAGGATTCTTACCCCGCACGCGGTCATCCCCCTGCCCCGAATCCGCCTCAACCATCACACAATTCCATATCCATAGCCTATTATGTCCCATTTGATTTGAGCGACACATTCACTTGAACTTAAGCCTAGTACTTTATTATAATCAATTATCCCATTTACTGATAATGATTCTTCCCATGTCGGATATTCTTTATTGGCTAAAATTGATAAACAAATGGGTAGTGCTTTGGTATTGGCCAGGGTAGTGCTCAATTTAGAGTATATAACAATATCTTTATTCACACATTAAAATACACAGTATTACCAATGGTAAAAAAAAAAACATTTACGTAGACACGCGTTAGTTAATACAGATATCCTCAATTAGAATATCAATCTCCTCCCTAGTGAGACTATCACAACTTTTTAGATTATTACGAACATATAGGGCATTCACATTTGTTAAAAGAACATGAAGACAACGATGGCGACGTCGAGCCGAAGCTGAAAACCAAATTTCACAGATGAGGAGTTAGAGGTATTGGTGAAATCAGTGAAGAGGCACCACGAGGTGTTGTATGGCAAGGGAGCACTGAAGGCTGATCCGAGGAAGAAAGCTGCAAATCGTTCTGGATGTGGCTTCGGTGGGGAGATGTAAGCGCAGTATCCCCGATTTAAAGCATAAATGGAGAGATCTGCGGGGCGCTGTAAAAGCCAGGCTCTGCGGACACCGGAGAAGTGTGCACGCAACCATGGGTGCAGATCCCGGGGTTCTGAAAAACATGAATTGTCCCCCCAATAAAAATACCCTAAATCATTAAAATTGAACAAAATCACTTTTGTGTCCCCCCCAATCTTGACATCGGATCTGCACCCCTGCGCGCTACAGTGGTGGGGAACCATCATCCCCTGCGCATTTCACTGCACTGGAGGGAAGGTGGCATCCACTCTTTATGCAGTGGAAGTGCATGGAGAAGAACTTGGAATGGATACAGATGAAGGAGGGTTATGTAAAATGGTCATTTTTATTTGCCTATACTCAAAGTATCATTGTATACTGGAAACAAGCTTAATATGGTTTCAAATATTTGTTTTGGCATTTCAAGCAGTTGCGCGTACATAGGCGTCATGGGCCGAGCCAAGGAATTTGGCGCAGATTCTTAATATGCGCGTATCATGATCGCACAAAACCTGAACATTAATGCTGTGCCGACGTCTACGGTCTCTGTACATATTCTCATTAGTGGAAGGGGTTCTGATTGCAACATGAGTAGCTACAATCAATGGCTCCCATAACACTGGGGAACCCGGCAACCCGAACCCCCCCCCTAACTCTCCGTCATCAGCGGGTGTTTCGGGGAACTTTATGAATGGCTGACGTGGTGCAGCATAGCGTCAACGAACTGTGTCAGACACCTTGACACAGGCGCCTGTGATATGTGCATGA